AGTTCCCCCGCTCTGGCAGGCAGAGCCGAGTGCGACGGGAGACCGTAGGCACGCTATCCATGCACAAGCTATTCACAGCTCTGTAATGATATGTAATTGTTTTGTATGCAGTCAGCTCAAAATTATCCTGATAGGTTCCACATTGCAGACACTGAGGAGGGGAACTGCCATAGTCCCATGGGTAATGCTGAAAATACACATACTTTTCCATTTAATATTAAAACTTGGGGTTTTTTGTATGAAGAATTCAGTATTGGCTTTCTGAAGTTCCGCACTCCGTGCACAAAATAACTTCTTTTTTTTTTTTGTGGAAAAATTGAACTTGATTAGTTCATGAGATAACTGAAAACAAATTAATAATAAAAGAAACATAGCATCTGTTTCTTTGTTTTCTTCTTCTTTTTTTTTTTTTTCCTTGTGTTTCTGATGATCTTAACAGGACTGGAACTTCAGATATGCGAATTTTTTGTATAATTTAAATAATTTGAGGTCTTGTGCATAGATGATGTAGAAAAAATCCCAAATAAACAGCAAAGATTAGAAAAAAGCTCAGCTGGTGTTGTGTAACGGGAGAAAAATGACAGTTAAAAAATAGTCTGGCCTGTAATCACAAATACAACCCCACTGTTATCGTGGTTGTACAGCTGGGCTTGGTATCGCTGCTTGTCAGGGTTTGCTTCAGTACGAGACTTACTAGGCATCTCCTACCTTAACGTATTTAATTTTCTTTGAAGTGTCATCTTCATTCTGTACTGCCTACACGTGGGATGTTTGGGGTAGGGTAATTGTAACTTCTCCATGTAACATTTGTGTACTTCAAAGTTAAACCTCATTTCCATTTGAAAATACTTTAAATACTTTCCATGCATTGAAATAGGTATAAACCAGAGTTTGTGCTCTCCTGGCGGCTTTCAGAAAGATACTTCAGGCAGCTCTGAGCACAAACTGTTGTCAGTGCGGGTCCCCTCGCCCCTCTTCTGTCCCTGCTCACATCTGGCGAAAAGGGTGGATGCTGCTGGAGGATGGGAGGGAGCCAAAGTGATGTTTTCAGGCTGGAAGGTGACTTTTCAGGATGAGATTGCCTTGTTTAGGGTGAGCCTTGCTCTGTTGCTGTCTCTCGGCTGGTTTAGGTGGGGTTTGATCTCGTCTTCCTGTGAGCAATGGTGATGGGAGCCCTTGCCCGTGGGCAGCCGGCACGCTGGCATCCCCCGCTGGGATGTGGAAGTGGAAAAATCACTTGAGACCCGTCTCAGTTGGAGCAAGGTTTTGTCATCCGGGGGATTTTGTATGTTCCCATCCCTGCCTCCCATTCCCCTTCCTGGCGCCTTGTTTTAGCTTTGATTAAACCTTCTGGGTTTGGGTTTTGCTTTTTGGTTTTTATGCTGTAAGTTGACAAAGCTGCCTTGCCCTCAAAGAATTGAAATATTTTGGAGGAATCTAATGAATCGAAAGCAAAGCAGAGCGCAAATAAAACTGGAACACGAGCCTGCAAAGGGCTGTAGCTGTCTGGACGGCTGATGTTGGGGAGAGGGCTCTGCCTGGAGCCACAGGGATCTATTTCTACTCAAGCTTCTTAAAATTTAACTTTAAACCCAATTAAAAAAACCCATTCCTCTCCTTTCTGTTCTCTTTTTTCCTTTCTTTCTCCACCACTCTGAATAAAACTTTGTCTTTTTTTGGCTTGCGGGGTTGGTTTGGTTTTTTTTTATTTTTTAGAAGTTTTTAGTTACTAGGTTTTTAGTTTCTAGATTTATTTTTTTTTTCTCCTGTGAAATAATTTGTTTTGCTTTTTCTTTAATCTGTGTTCAAGCTTAGTGGTAACTTCTTATTTTGAAGTCTGTGATTATAGTGTGATTCCTTATTTTCTTCCTGGAATCCTTTCTCAGTTTACAGTTTATATAACTGATGTGACAAATCTTTCCTGCCTTACCGTGTATGATATTGCGGTTAAATGTCTCTGTCCCTCACTTAATTAAATCCAATTGTTGACTTTCAATTCGGATCCAATTAATGTACTATAAGAGCTGGTTCTGGACTTCATAAACTGGTGAAAACTTTTCAAAACTGCCCACACAAATGTAAATCCCATCTGAAAATTAGTTTTTTTTCTGACCTGGAATGAAAGCAAGTATGCACAAGCATTCC